AATAGTCATAGAGTACAAATAAGCAATCAGGAAACAATATTAATATAAATCATAAGGATACAAACAACAAAGTTACAGTCCTGCAGTCATAAGGGGGAGGAGGTGGGTGACAGGAATGATGAGAAGTCTAATAGTAATAGTAATGCAGCCTTAGTGAATGGCTTGACAGTGGTAAGGGAATTATTTGTTTAGCAGAGTGATGGCGTTCGGGAAAAACTGTTCATGTGTCTAGTTGTCTTGGTGTGCAATGTTCTATAGCGTCACTTTGAGGGTAGGAGTTGAAACAACTTATGTCGAGGATGCGAGGGGTTTCTAAATATTTTCACGGCCCTCTTTTTGACTCATGCAGTATACAGGTCCTCAACGGAAGGCAGGTTGGCAGTAATTGTTTTTTCTGCAGTTCTAATTATTCTCTGAAATCTATGTCTGTCTTGTTGGGTTGCAGAACCAAACCAGACAGTTATAGATGTGCGGATAACTACCTTTCTAAGCAAAAGTGAAAATATTTGTAATGAGACAAATCTCATTACACCTCTGTTGGGCCTCTACCTCTACCTCTGTTCGGCAACACATTTGAAATCTCAGCTGTTGTTAGGAATGTGAGGAATGCTGAGATTGGACAGCCATTCATCTGAAATTGTATAAGGTTTCATGCTTGAGCAGGGGGTTGAACTAGAAGACCTCCAAGGTCCCTTCAAACTCTGTAATTCTGTTAGGTGGGAATAAATCTGTTTTAGCAATATGCATAAATTTTTAATCTCCATCTGAACAGTGGCTTATCCTTGTAGGAGCTAAGGGCTTTTGGATTGCAACTTAGAATAGAATAACAGAGTTGGAAGAGACCTTTGAGGTCTTCTAGTCCAACCCTTTGCTTAGGCCTTGTGTTCATGTCCAACAGTTACACTTCTATATCAATAAGAATCCCGTTGACTTTCTAACTTTCAAAAACAGAAAGTTTGTACGCAGAATCTTGCAGATTCTTTGGGTATACATCATGCACAATTCAGTACCCCAAATTCTTAGAATTTAAGTTTTTAACAAGTGCATTGAGGCTCCATGTTTTTTGAAGCGGTTTCACATATGTAAACCATAGAGCAACATAGCATGTCAGGCAAAAGACTAAACTGAACTTTTATCCTAAGTGAACTACTTTCTTCAACCAGTGGGTTTTTTTCAGTGACATTCAGAAATACGACTTTCTTCTGCCAACAGAAGTGGTACAATCAAATAAAAGTCCTCCAAGCCATGTAAGGAGATGTAGGAATAATTATGGAGCAATTTGAAAATGCCACAAAAAAGTGATGCATGATTTGTTATGATTATGCTGGCTTTTAGTTCTGCAAGGATTTGAATTTAAATCTTTTGTTTTACCCCCCAGAGAGATTCCACGTGTATTTGATGCCGTCACCTAATTTAGATGTGCATGGAGAATGTACCTTGCAGATAACATTTGAAAATATCTGTCTTTGGGACATACAGAATCCCCGAATAAAACTCGTATCTTGGCCTTTAAGTGCCCTCCGGAGATATGGCAGGGACTCAACCTGGTTTACATTTGAAGCTGGAAGGTGAGCAAATTCTTTTATGCAGGTTTTTTTAAAAATTGAAAACAGGAAATTCTCTGCATTGGAACCCTTGTATATCGTATTAACAAGTTAAACAACAAGCCATCTGACATATACAGCAGCAACAACTGTTCTCTATCCTATTCATATAACATCTGATATATTTGATGGCAGAGGAAGTAAGTCTATTTGGTTTTGGGAGAACAGCCAATATTTTAATCTCTTGACAAGTGTGAATCTGATTACAGTCGGTGGCATTGGGAGCTACAGAAACATGATTCAGACTGGACTGTATCTTTTCTGGTATTACATTGGTTAGCAAGGACTTTTGGGGAATCCTTTTAGATTATTTTTAAAAAAATTTCTTCAACCCAATCTGAAAATGCTGCAGAATCAAACACACACACACACACACACACACACACACACACACACACACACACACACACACACACACAC